AATTTACTAATGGATATACAAACAAATATCAACAATAACGGTCTAAGTATTACGTGCGTAACTAGTTTTCGATGATTTATAACTTAGTGAATATCAATTTTAACTTGGTATGCTGGAATGCAGCTTGCCATTGGTGAGTTGATGGATAGGTTGTGGTCACTAACTAGGAAGGAACTGCCATGGTGAACATAAATATCTGGCTACTGCTAACTCTGATAAATTACATCTCGAGGATATTTAGACGCCAACTTTACAAACCCTATGGACTTTTTGAGGAAAATGGTGGAAGGGGATTCGAAATTGTTGGGAAATATTCGCAACAAATTGATTAATACAATAATGATAAAATAAATAAATAAATAATAAAAGCACACAAAGAAAAGAAAAACCAATATTTATGTGATTCGACAAATTTCTTGTCGGCATTTTAGGCGTGATCCGGACACTTTCTTTACTATCGAGTAAATTTGAGTACAACGTTGCAAACATCACCATTCAAGTTTAATATCAAAAACCCAAGATTTTTACACCCTTTGTACACCCCCACTCAATTCTCACCCCCCTCAATGCGAAGATACAACTGAAAGCTTTTGTACTCTCGCTACATACTCAGATGTCGAGTGAACTTTGAAGCTTGAGAAATAAACACCTGTTTATAGGCTTGAGCTGATGGCACTTCGGTAATTTTGGAGAAAACCAAGGAGATAAAAAGCAGATCTCTTTAAAACATACTGTCTTCTTCCTTATTCCTAAAACTTCTCTGCAGAAGACAAAAGCCTTTAGAAGCAAAAAGTCTCCATTTTGGGCACGCGTGAATGCAAGAGTCCTTGTCTTTTGGCATAGATCTGACACAAATTTGGTAACCTATGCCTTAGCCTACCGCCGTCTACACCGGCGCCACCAATAGCCCATTCCAATGCCAAATTCCTTTGTCAAGCGGCGTCGACATTGAATTCGAGCCATCTTCTGTCGTTGTCCAACAACAATCTCCACCTTGTCGAGAATTCAATAATCTCCACCTGAAATTTCATGTCTGCATCTTGGTGTAGATGTCCCTCACGTCTTTGGATATTTCATCAATCTAACAGTGCAAAAAATCAATGAAGTTCAAGTAGTTTTTGAACTTCTAAGTAACCGGCTTTGTTATCATATCAGCTGCATTGCTGTTCGTACGAATTTTCATCAAATTCACCTAGCTTTCTTCCCCCTATTCTTGGAGAGCGTGATACCTCCCCTAAATGTATTTTGTCATGATAAACTTGATTCTTTGTCAAATAAATTACACTTTGGCTACCACAATACAGCTCCGAACTTTCCTACTTCAATCTTAGTTTCTTGATCAAACCTGGCAACCACAACACCTCCTTGGTAGCTTTCATTGTTGCCATATATTCTGCTTCACTTGTGGATAAAGTGGGAATTAATTGAAGCATAACTTTTCAACTGATAGGTCCACCAGCAAGTGTAAATATGTAACCAGTAGTAGACTTTCTGTTGTATAGATCTCTTGTATAGTCTGCATCAACATAACTCACAACCAATCCTGTTCTATCTTGTATCTGATACAAGGTACTGAAATACACTGTACCTTTCAAATACCTAAATATCCATTTAACAACATTCTAGAGCTACTTGCTTGGATTATCCATATACTTATTAATAATACTAACTAATGTCTGGCCTACTACAAACCATGGCATACATTAGACTTCTCATAGCACTAGTGTATAACACATAGGACATTTCCTCTACCTCATTATCTATAGAAGGACAGAATGTAACAGATAATTTAAAGTGATTAGTTAGAGGAGTATTAATAGGTTTAGAGTTACCCATTCTAAACCTCTAGCACCTTCCCAACATATTTCTTTTGTGATATCCATAGTTTACCTTTTTTTCCTATCCCTCCAGATTTCCATTCTAAAGATCTTTTTAGCAGCCCCTAGATCCTTCATATCAAATTTCTTTCGTAATCTGGACTTGAGTGAATTTAGTTCATGTATGTTATTTGACTGGACTTTAGTGATTGTCCATGCATCGTACATGCCACCTGAAAAACAAAACGGATCTTCACTACCAATAGTTAATGCGAAAGAAATCATGTCTTCAAAGTTATACTTGCCTTATGTGTCATTTTCTCCCTTCCAGAAGCAAGAACAGTGGGTTATTGTTGCCTGCCATCACCACAAAATGTATCTTTCTGAGAAGATAATGGTGCATCATCCTCTCCACTAGGCCCTGTGTCACATCTGGCTCCACTTGGACTTACAATTTTTCTGCATGAACATCCAATTGTTTATCGACTTCCTCCTTGTTTAAATTCAGCATATGTTCTTCATTGAAGATAACATCTCTGCTGACAATAACCTTCTTGCAACCGAATCTCAAAGTTTGTACCCTTTTACGCCTTTTTTTAACCAACAAATATGCAATACTTTAACTTTGGATCTAACTTGGATCACTACTACTCCTGCACGTGAACATAAGTTGGACAACCAAATATTCTCAAGTTAGAATAATTAATCGGTTTACCTGTCCAAAGCTCCTCAGGGATTTGAGCATTAATAGCTGAAAACTTTGACTTGTTAACAATATAACATGTTATGTTAACAACCTCAACTCAAAATGACTTTGGCAAGTCTGTATGGATTCTCATAAATCTTGCTCTCTCTAATAGGGTTCTATTCATTATTTTTGCTACACCATTTTGTTGCAGCCCATCTGGTATAGTATAATGTTAAGAGATCCTTTTTGTCTCACAATATCTTTTGAATTCCTAATGTGTGTACTCCATTCTGCTGTCCATCTGTAGGTACTTGACTTGTTTTCCTGTTTGCTTTTCAACCTTTGTTTTCCACTGTTTCAAATACTTCATTTTTATGCTTCATTAAGTAGACCCATACTTTCTTGGATAAATCATCAATAAATGTCACAAAATACACCGCCCCACCTTTGGATGGAATTGGCACGGGTCTCCATATGTCAAAGTGTATGTAATCTAAGACATCCTTACTTGTATGTTATCCTACTTTAAAGCTAACCCTGCATTGTTTTCCATACAAGCAATACTCGTAAAAATTAAGTTTTTAAGTTTTTTAGCCCATCAAGCAAACTGTGCTTGTGAAATTCATGTAGACCTTTTTCATTTATATGGTCAAGGCATAAATGTCATAAAGTAGTGTCATCAGTACCCGAATCTAAAAGAGTTGTTACAATTGCTCCACCTATAAAAGTACTCACTAATAATGTATACAAATTTCCTTCTTGTGTTCTCCTTCAGGACAACCATGGTCCCTTTAACAAATTTAGGACCTCAATCGTTGTCATAAAGGTGAAACCATTATAGTCAAGTTTATCCAAGGAAAATAAATTCTTTTCTAGGTTAGGGACATGCCACACATCACCTAGTGTTCTTACCATACCATCAAATATTTTAATTTTAATGGTTCCAATTCCAATGATCTTGCAAGCTGAATCATTACCATTAGAATTGTTCCCCCATTATAGGGTTTTTAAGTATCAAATCATTCCTTATTATGACACATGTGATAAGAACATCTTGAATCTAGAAACCATTTGTCAATAAAATAATTCGTACATGTTATAAGAAATCACCGTTTCCATTTGAACTCTATTGAGCAATGCCCACTTGATTTGAATTAGGAGATTTTGCTTTTTCCTCTAAATCTTGCTTTCGTCAATTGCAGTCCCTTTTGAAGTGTCTCTCCTTATGGCAATAGTGACACTCGAGTTTTCCACTATTTGTCTTTCTTGTTTTGGAGCATGACCTCCCACCATTTCCAAAGTCTCTTTGGTTGCTCCTTCCACATTGTTGATTAAATTCACTTTTTACCACTAATCCTGCTTGAAAACTAGTTTTCGACTTCCTGAGTGCCTTAGTCTTTAAAAGAGCGGTTGTCACCTCATCAGCCATTGATAGTGTCTTTTCTAACCAAAAGTGATAGTCACAAGTGTATCATAAGAGTATGGAAGAGAAGTCAAGAGAAAAATGGTATTATCCTCTTCTCCAATTGTCACCTCAACATTAATTAACTGAGTAATAATGCTATTGAAGTATCGGTAATTAAGAACAATGCGTCTTGTTCTTAATTCCACCCTTCCCATGCTGAACTTGGATACTATGATACCACTTATTGGGAAATGCTTGCAGCAAATTGATTAATACGATAGTGAGAAAACAAATAAATAAATAATGAAAGCACACAAAGAAAAGAGAAGACCAATATTTACATGATTCAAAAAAATTCTCACCTAGACATGATCTAGTCACCTTTATCACTATTGAGTAAAATTGAGTGCAAACAGTACAAGCATCACTATTCAAGTTTAATAGCTCAAGCCTGAGATTTTTACACCATTATACATCCCCCTCAATATGAAGATACATCAGAGCACTTTATTATTGAACTCTCACTACATAATCAAAATTTGGAGAACTCAACGCTTATAGGCTTGAGCTGATGACACTTAGAAGAGATTCTCTCAGTAGCAAAAAATCAAAGAGATTCTCTTAGAAGCAAAAAATCAAATCTCTTTAAAAGTTTGTCTTCTTCCTCCTTCCTGAAACTTCTCCGCAGACGAAAGCCTTTAGGAGCAAAACGTCTCCATTTTGGGCACGCGTGGATGCAACAAATCCTTGTTTTTGACGCAGATCGATCTGGCAACCTATGCCTTAGCCCACCGCAGCTTACATCGACAGTCTACACCGTCGCCACCAACAGCCCACTCCGGCACTGAATTCCTTTGTCAATCAGCACTGACATTGAATTCAAGCCATCTTCTGTCGTCGTCCAACAACAGAAATAGTGCGGTTTTGCCTTAAAAAATATTCTTCATCATGCCAAATTTCTATGTAATGTCATTCTATTCAACTCAGATACAGATAGCCCACCAGGTTAAGAGTCTTTTCACCTCGAAGTTAGAGCCTTACCATATACAAAATGTTTCAATCCAGCAAGACTGGACACCTCTCTCTCTCTCACACAGACACACACACACACACACAGACAATACCTCTGATCAAGGCTTACTTGCTAAAACCCCATCATTAGATGAGGGATCCTGGTTTGGTGACCATCTTTCATGGTGGAGAGAATGTTTGCTATCTTTGTGGCGCTTGTGAGCGCGTTCTTCCCTATCAACAGAAGTCCTTTCATCCGATGTCCTTTCATCTGATGACCGATGCCGGCTATGGGAGCCTCGGTCGGGTTGATGAGCATTTCTACTCTGTTTATGATGCTTGTTAGGGCGGTCTTCCTTGTCCTCGGAGCTCCGTTCACTACGTTTGTGATGCTTATGAGAGCTATCTTCCCTGTCCACAGAGCTCCGTTTACTATGCTTGTGGTGCTTGTAATATTGTCCTTCAATCTCCACAGAGCTTTTTCTTCGAGGAGCTGATGGAACCTTCATTCACCCAAAAAAAAAATCATAACAATAGGACAATAGGACAATAGGACTTAGGGATTAGATAGGGGAGGGCCATGAACATATCCAAACAGTTGGCAAGGAGTAAATCAAAACAGAAAGTTTAAATACATTGTCATTAACAAAGTACTTCACCTCCACTCGCAAAATGCTGATATTTCACATAGTACTTTACCTGAAAACGTGACATGTATCTTCCCTCTGGTGGAGGTGGGATGCCAAGCCTTTTCAAATCATCGAAGGGAATTGGCCGCCTGTTTACCAGAACAGAATGCAGTGTTAGAGCCAGTATTTGTGGAAAGAAAAATATAATTTCCAATAAATAGTATATTATTTCCAGGTCAAAACAAAGATGACACAGTAGCCTCTTATCGTTAGGTTGAAGCACATTGAGCGGGCATACAGCTACATCCTAAAAAAAAAACTGAGTCAAATTGGATGGAAGAGAAGGAGAAGAGTACATTTGAGATCTCAAAACAGCTATGTGAACTGCAAACCCTTGCTTGAGTGGTGATAAAGAGGAACCATAGGATTATTGCTTTCATGATTTATGAAAATAACAATAGTTGTCTAATTCAGTTAGATTCCAACCTCCCAGTTATGAATCACAACAGAAATTGTGTAAAGAAATGTCCATGCTAATGCAACATCCATATATTGGTTCCACTAAAAGTAGAATAGCAGTATTCTGTACATATCCAAATAATCTTTCCACTCCCATAGTGCTCAGCGAAGAGAAACTTGAAATTGCATCTGCGTGATGTGGCTGAATTCTTGTGAAGGTGAAGTCTGCAAGCCTCTTAGGTACGATTCCTAGATTTGTTCTCTTCTCCTCTGCTTCATTCTCTTTGAAACTTTTGACAGGCTACAGCAACCACCCCAATGCAGAACCTGTTTCATTCCAATTCCCTACAGTACCAAGTCCAACTCAACCCTAACCCTTTTCCTTCCAGTTCACTTTGACCTTAACACAAAATCCCAAAATAAATGCCATATTAAAAATCTAAACACACGTTTACTTCAATGCATTTTCATCCTACAAGTTTCCACAAACTTAAGCCACCACATATATGGCATTATCTAATTTTTCAAATTTCATTTTACATACATGCCACCACTCTTGCACAAAAAAGACCCAAAAAATGAAGAACATCACTGACAGCCAAGGATAGAGAGAGCTCAAGAACAGCCTTTTAACTTTTCCAACAACGCCCCTACCCCTTTATTCCATACATCAAATTAAAATTGGAAAAATAAACTAAGCTATATCAAATAAACCTCACAAAAACTAAAGTGAACTCAACTCCTCCAGTAGATCATGCTGGTTTTTTTTTTCAATAATAGGAACCCTTCATACATTCTTCCTATGATATGAATACAAATCACTTAATTTCTCTGCACCAAAGGGAAAAAGGAGGGGAGGGGGGGGGGGTGTGAAAGTAGAGAGTGCCTTTCTAACATTCCAAAAGATAGGTTTTTTTTACCTTTTTGGTCTCTGAAAATGTTAAAAAACCATCATCTTAAATATGCAAAAATTAATTAACAGAATATGACAAACTATATACATATTACACTAGTAATAACTTTTTTAATGAAAGGTGTAAAGTTGGATTTTGCAAAGGTTTTTGAGGGCAAAACAACAAATTTGTTAAATAAATTGATGGAAAATAATGAATACTGATGCATACAGTGGAGCCCGAAAAGGTCTTTCTCGTCCTCCAAAACGAAGCTGCCCTGATTCCTTCTTCCCACCAAGGCCCCCTCCTGTCAAGTAAATGACTTCAGAAGTCATCTGGGTAAGCAACAAGTTTTCACGGAAAGAGAATTTCACTGACCTAACCGTCTTGGGATCCACCCTGGCATCAACTGCTGTCGGTTGTAATCAACTATAACTTCAGAATCCTCAATAAAAGTATGGTGGGCATCCTGCACAGAAGAACAATAAAAGGCAATAAGCAACACCGTTAGTAGTTTATACTTTATACAGTAGACACTCCTTAAGCAACTGGCAAATGCAACGATCTGATCACTTGACCCGAGTTAGGGACATACAATTACTCTACTTCCACAAATCAGTGATAACTCCGCATGTGTTGTGTTTAATGCCTATTCTCTCCACAACCGGTCCCAAGCATAGATAAAGGAGGGTTACATTAAGTAGTGATACCCAATGTAAAACTTGTTAGACCTCTAAAGAACATGAATCCCATGAATATGTGCATAAATATTAGGATATTCCCCTTAATCGATATAGTGCACCTGCAACTCAATGTTTCAAAAAATGACAAGTACATGCCACATTTTAGTCACTTAAAATTTGGGAAAAATGGTGCTATGGTTGCTGTCACTCTAGACTAGCTTGTATAAAGAATTTAGTCCATGATACTAAACTTAGATTAGAGACCTGAACCATAAGAAAAATAGATAAACTAAGTAGGCATAAGATTGTTAGTGAGTGAAGGGTAATAGAGTCATTGCCTCATTCTCATATGTGTAACTATATATATCACTCTTTAGTCAATAGAAGAGGCTATGTCATTCCATATTCAATTACATCTCTCTCTCTCTCTCTCTCTCTCTCGCTGTACTGTTTCTATGGTATCAGAGCCACCATTGAGGTGGAGTCAGTGTGAGTCATCGGTTATTGTCGAGCTGAAATCACTGTTCACCGACCACCATTGAGCCATTGTTTGTCGTTGAGGTGAGTCACTGATGTTGTTGATCGAATAATTCGATCGTTGTCCAAGAGTTGTTGCTGTGGGTGATCAAATGAATCACAGTGGAGTGAAGATGATGTGGCAGATCTGGGCAATTGTTGTTGAGTTTCTTGAATGAAATCGTATTTGTTGTTGGTTGATTCGTTTCTTGGATTGATGAATTTCTAGGGTCGCGGTGGTTGCAGAAAGGATCTGGTTTAGGGATTCAGATAGTCGAAGGTTGAAGAAAGGGCCCGGTTCAATCGAATCCTCCTTTCGGGTTGGCTACTTATTTCAGAAACCCAAGTCCACTCCAAGCATACTTATCTCAGAATAAGTCCACTCCAAGCTCAAAGTATCAAAGTCCAGTCCAAGCTAAAAGTGTCCAGCCCAATCTTATCAGAAGCCCAAATACTGAAGTTCAATCCAGCCCAACAGGTTCAACATATTTCAGACTGGTTCAGCCCTAGTTCAAACCTTAAACCGATTCGGTTTAACCCAGTCCGGACCGATCCAGACTTTGGTCCATTCAAGTCGGTCCTTCGTGCTTCCAGACCGGTTCAGCCTGGATCAGATCACTTGAAGTCTCTCCAGCGCCAGTTTTGTCCCATCCAAACTGGTTCTTGTTTCTTCTCTTCTACTCGGTTCATCCAGCACGTAAGCTCTTCTGTTTCTGTTTCTCTTTCTCTTTCTCTTTCTCTTTCTTCTCTTCTGCTCGTTCATCCAGCACATAGTATGTTCAGCCCTTCTGCTCTTCTGTTTCTACTTGGTCTTGGCATTATGGACGAGAATAACTCCTCTTCCAGTGGTATTGGATCTGTGGTGAATGACTTTACTGGTTTATCCATTACCTCCATTAAGTTGAATGGTAATAACTAGGTACCCAAGTCTCGTTTCTTTTAACTGTGAAAAATAAAGTTGAATATCTTTTAGAGGATAAGCCGAGTGAAAATAATTCAAAGCTTAAACAGTGGAAAGTAGAGAATGCATAAGTGATGGCGTTGTTATGGAAAAGTATGGAACCTCGAATTAGTATTCATCTCATGTCTCTTGAAACTGCTAAGGAGATATGGCTCGCAGTTACTCGTTTGTTTTCCGGACAAGATCAGTGTTATGAAAAGCGCGCCTACGCGCTCGCCTAGGCGAGAAGCGAGGCGAGGCGAGACTTGCTCGCCTGGAGGAACCCAGGCGAAGCGAACCTGAGCGAGGCGAGAAAAAAGCGAGGAAAAGCGAAAAAGCGAAGAAGCGAAAAAAGCGAAGAAGCGATCGCTTTTGTTATGCGAGGCGAATTTTTAATTTAGACCGTAGGATTGGGCGATTGCAAAAAAAATTTTAAGATGTTAATGTACCGAATTATTCCCTTATCCTATAAATAAAACTCCTAACCTAATTTTGTTAATTTTTTTACAGATAGCTTCAATCGGTGCTTCAATCGGTGCTGCCTGCTACACGATCGATCGGTGCTGCTCTCCCCTGCTTCGATCGATGCTGCTTCGATCAGTGCTGCTCTCCACTGCTACACGATCGATCGGTGCTCCTCTCCACTGCTACACGACGGATTTGGTGCTGCTCTCCATTGCTGCTCTCCACTGCTACACGATCGGTACTGTTCTCCAGTGCTACACTCCAAGGCTTCGAGTTTTTCGCTACTTGTACACCATTGTTGTTGCTGGACTGAGGGTTTGGAGGGCTGGTCTGGACTGTGGAGGTTAGTCTCTTCTTCTTCTCTCTTCAATTTTTTTTTCTTCTGTCTTCTGCTCCTTCACCGATTCTGGTTTTTTTTTTTTTTTTTTCTTGATCTGATTCTACCCCATCCTGCTCTGATTCTACCCTATTTTGCTCCGATTGTGCTTCTTTTTTTTTTTTTCATTATGCGTCTGTTTTTTTTTTTTTTTTTTTTTTGCTTTTTCCTTATGTTGCTGTCCAAACTCCATTCTAAGGAGTTGCTGGAATGCTATTATTCGTAGTTGTACGTATGTTACATACCGATATGTACCTAGTTTTGTTATTGTTGCTAGATAAACAAAACTTATTGTAATGCAGCTATTTGGTTGGTAACACCTCTCTTCAATGGATAGCTCTGTGGCACTGGAATTTTTTTTTAAATCAGAAGTTATTTTCATAGGTCAAATTATAACTTTTAAAAGTGAAGTTGCAACTGAATGGAGTTAATCACGATCGATCATGAAATGTTGTGATCGGTCATTAATACTTCGGCCTTGACGTAACTTTTGTGATTGATCATAATATTTTGACATCGATTATGTCTTTTACAGTCGTAATTTACACCCAAAAAATTATAACTTAATCATAAAAAGTTGTAATATTCGGTCGTAGTCTTCCTGTCTCTTCAATAATGAGATAGTCACCATGCATTGCTTGAAATATTATTCACACAGATATATGTGAACTTCCAGCACTACAACATAATGAGTCGACGACTGGACTCACAGATGAGGAAGACATAATTTCAGATGAGGCAGAGGAGGAGGATACTGAGGGATATGAATCTAAGGATAATGAAGAAGATGATTTCTTTAGTGATGAGGATTGATTTCTAAGTCCTTGAGATATTTTCTTTAGTTGCTTGAATTATGTGTCTTATGTTTTTAAATATTAGGATTTGGGATATTATTAGTATTTGTATGAATTTAAATGTTTAAACTATGACTGTTATTAAGATTTGCAA